CATGGAGGGTGGCTTGGCAACTACATCAGCCAATTTCCTCAGGACTCAGGGATGCATCTTGTCAGGTCCCATAGACTTGTGCATGCTCAGGTTCCTCAGGTGGTCTTGAACCTGATCTTCTCTTATAGCAGGAGGGACTTTGCTCCTCCAGTCCCCATTTCACAGTCCATCCACTCAAGAGGTGTGGGAAGAGACTCTCAGTGAAGAGTGAGGCAAAGAAGTCACTGACTACCTTGGCTGCCTCCTCATACATTGTTATCAGTCTTGCTCATCAAGGGGGGTGCGCTTTCTTTGACCTTCCTTTTCTGGCTGACCTACCTGTAGAAGGCTTTCTTATTCTTTGCATCACTTGCTAAGTTCAGCTCCAGCTGTGTCTTTACCTTCCTGACCCCATTCCTACGCAACTGGGCAGTGTCCCTATACTCATCCCAGGATACCTATCCCTGCTTCTACTGCCTGTGCATTTCCTTCTTACCCTTTAGTTTGACCAGCAGGTCTCAGCTCAGCCATGCCAGTCTCTTGCCTTCCTTTTCTGATTTCTTACACCCTTGCTAAGTGTCAGCTCCTTATCCGTCCCCAGGAAGAGCTCCATCCACTCCAGGTGGTCACTGACATAGAGGGTGACACCCCTTCCTCGTCTCCACTGCCTGTTCTTCCTAAAGAGCCTGTATCCTTCCATTCCAGCGCTCCAGTCACAGGAGCCATCCCGCCATGTCTCTGTGCCAATAAGCATAGCCTTGCACATGTGCACACAGCTCTTAGCTCTTGCTTATTGCTTGTGCTACGTTCATTTCATAGAATCATTAAGGTTGGAAAAGACCTCTAAGATCATAAAGGCCAACCATCAACCCAACGCCACCATGCGCACTAAACCATGCCCCGGAGTGCCACATCTACACGTTTTTTGAACACGTCCGGTGTTGGGCCCCACTGAAGGTCACTTACTAGCTGGAGTGGCTGGAATTCCTTTGTGCTGCTCTTCAGGTGCTCTCATATTGACCTGCGATCCTTCTCCAGGCTCTGGGCATCTGTCATTGGCACTGGCATCAAACTGGTAGGACTGGGATGGACTGAGGTTCTCATTCCTCCGGCAACTTCAGTTTAAAGCCCTCTTCACCAACTTGGCAAGCCGATGACCAAAGAGGCCCTTCCCCTTCTCTGACAGATGGACCCCATCAGCCCCCAGTAGACCAGGTTTCTCAAAGCGAATCCCATGGTCCAAGTAGCTGAACCCCTGACTCTGGCACCAGTCCTGTAACCATTTGTGGATTTGCCAGATTCAACTGGCCCTCTGTGGGTTTCCAGAGCTCTACACAAGCAGTAACAAAGTCTTACCTGCTCCTCTATGGAATAGGATGCTGTTAGTTCTCTGCTACAGGCTCGCACTGCTTGTCCAGAACAACGTAGCTGGTAGCATGTTTAGGATGGTTGTCTCTGCACGTCTCCTTCTCCACTACTTCATACCAGTTGTATTTTCCTCCTTCCATATATAGGGGGAGTGGGGAATCTGCTTGGTTAATGCTTTCCACTGGGATCTGCAGAGCGTGTATGTTATCTGTTTATAGTTTGTGGCAGGGATTGACTCCGGGATTTGCACAGTCTGCAGATTAGCGCAGGAAAATGCAAAGAATAAAGAAGAAGCAGAAGTCTTTAGTGAGAGCCTGTGAGTGGTTGTTTTTTTTTTTCCAGACTGACCTTCCTTTACTTTTAGCTGCTTCCTTTTCAGCATTATGGCAAAGATTAAAAGAGGGGATTATGACACTGAGGATGAAAGTCAGAGTCAGTGGGCTTGATAACAAAAAGAAGTAAGAGGAAAGGCCAAATGTCTCAAAACAATTTTGGTCATAATGTTGGAATGTCTGTTTTTCTCCACAATTGCAACATTTATGAAGTACCTACCAGAGAACTAGGGTCCATAAGCTCCAGGATGAAAATATGTTTGCAGTAGTTTGGAGATTTCAGGTAAAGGTGTGGCCTTTGCGGGAGAGGGTTAGAGATGAGTAGGAAAAGCTGATCAACCTCATTTACTGTTGGTTGCAGGATAATGGAATAATGTAGGAAGGTGGTTAGTATAGAAGTATGCAGGAGTCCCCATTGCTGAAGTTTAATTGTTCCCAATTGAGTTTTGGATTCCTATGCAATAAGTCTTAGGTAATGCTTTTAGTGCTTATTTAAACTGAAGCTACTTTTATTTGCAGGCATATGGAGGATGAGTGTTGGGTGCAGAAAAAAAGTGAACCCACAACATCGCATTTATTTTGCACTTAACACTTGCAAACTTGAATGCTGCTGGGGCAGGAGGGGAGAAGGGCAAGGGAAATTACCAAATAATAAAGCCTAATAAACTCTGGTTTTAATTGCCTTTCTCAGAAAGAGAGGGAGGAAGAGGAGGGAAGAGTGTGTGTTTACTGCAGTTGAAATTTGCTGCATATCACAGTCCCTGTGCAACCTCCAAATTATTTTCTTTTTAGCACAATTTCAGTCCCTTCCAAACTATCTTTCAACACCTTTTAAAAATCATACAAAGGCTTTAAATAACTGGCACTTTTTCATTCAGTGCAAGCTGTGGTCTAAGGAGGTAGGGGTGGGGGAATGGAATCTTTCCTCCTTTGGGTCTTCTCTTTGAAAGGCTGGAGAAGGTTTGTGTATGTATATTCACTTCTGTAGCTAACAATGCAGACCCTGCTATCCTTTATTTTTTATTTTTTGCCTCATTTTTATGACTGAGGTTTTTATGCTGGTATGAGAGATTTATTGATCCCTGTGTAATGAAACTTTGTACATTCCATATGGCAGTGCTGCACCTACTATGAATTATATAGGACATGAGTCATCCATTCTGCTGCTAGGGTACTTTGATCAAACGTGACACTTGTTAAAAGAAGTGTCCGCTGGTGAGGCACTTTGAGTATTTTAATGCCTGCTTTCCCCACTCCTTGTTCCCTAAATAAAGGAAATAAAGCCATTTTGCATCTTCAAAGTGCAATTTGTTCTGTCCGTCTTTTTGGGTGTTCTCTTGTTTTTTTGTTTTGGTAGGAGGGACAGCAGTGTGATAAAGGAGGAAATCAAAGCCTTCCTAGCCAATCGGAGAATTTCCCAAGCAGTTGTTGCACAGGTAACAGGTAAGAGCTTGGGGAGTCCTTTCTTCGTTTTGGGAAGCTATGTCTAACTGCTGTCTGTGCATGGTGCAGATGTTGGAATATTGCTTGACTTTCTGCATTGCAGTGCAGATCTGTCAGCTTAGTCATGATAATGTATGCCTTTGATTTAAGACCCATTGTCCCGCACATCATGGAACTTCCCCAGTGAATCACTTTTTCTTTTTTTTCTTTTTTTTGTAGCTTGTGCTAGCAGATTTTATTTTACAGCATTATAATAGGCCTGGAGTTCGTATCTTAAAATAAAAACGGTTTTCCTTAATTCTTAAATTGTTCGTTGAGTGCGGCAAATAGATGCGTATCTGCATCTCTGTGTGTGCAGAGAGATATATAAAATATGTATTTATATTATAAAATATATATGAAAAGTCAGGAGACTCAGCTATAGCTGGTATCACTACATCCATAAGTCGGATTATGATGGTTTGTTGTATTTCAGTCACTTGCCTTTGAGTCACGATTAATGGAAATCAGATGTGAGGTTGAGGGGATGACCATATAGGTCAGATTTTACCTAGAAAGAGTAGTAGTTCTCTTTTTGCCCCCTGCACTGTACCTTCTCTCTTTCACATTCAGGACAAGTGAACAGACTGCCGTGATACCACTTGCTCCTTGGGTGGGTTTCCAGAGCTCTACACAAGCAGTAACAAAGTCTTACTGCTCCTCCACAGGGTAGGGTGCTATAGTTCTCCTTTACAGGCTCACACTGCTTGTCCGGAACAGTGTAGCTGGCAGCATATTTAGGATGAAGATTTGATGGTAAAATAGAGATAGTTCAATCCCATGTTATATCTATAACATTTATTCATTTTTAAACTGAAGCTTGGCTAAAGATCTTGAAACAGATCGTTTTTAAGGTTCCTTCATGACTAGGAATGCCAAACCAGCAGGAGGGAAGTTGTTCTTTTATGGTAGTTCCAGTATTTGAAATGTCATAAGAACCCATCTGTCTGGGAGATCTGGGTTTGCAGACATGCTAGCTAGCAGTTGAGGTAGGCAGGCAGAAACGGGTGTTTGAGCCATGGAGCCAAGAATTCCTTTCACGTCTCCAACTCCTCTCTGTGATCTTGGTCAAAATTACTTCTCCTTCCCTGCTTTTAATTTCAGCTGTAAAATCATGAGATTAACATTTTGTATAACTCTAGGAATATTGTTAGCATTATCAGATGTGTTAGCAGTAGTACTTCAAAAATTAAATGCTAAGTCTAGTTCCTTAAATTGTACCTGAACTCTGACGTTTTGGTAGTTACTGGGTCACTCCCCTACTTTTGTGCAGTCCTTGCCTGAATATAGCCCTGTAGTAACACATCTCTGAATTAACCTCTGCGTAGCACCCTTCACATCTACCAGCAAGTCAAACTAGTTTCCCCTTCAAGAGAAGTAATGTGAAGAGGAAAAAATTGCAGAAAAAGTGTTTCCAAAACAAGGTTTTTTGTGGGGTTTTTTTGTTTGTTTGGTTGGTTGGTTGATTGGTTTTTTTTTTTCTTGGCCAGGCAGATTACTGCATGCAGGGTCATTGAATCAGAATCACCACACCAAATCTAAGAGAGAATGTATATCAGTAAAAGCAACTGATCTAATTCTAATGAGGTGTCTCGGTGCATGTCTTGATAACCCCAGCAGGCAGACTGTAGTAAAGTTAAGACCAGTCTCTTCACACCTGACCATTTTGCTCCTTCCATCCTCAACCTACTCTCTTGGATTTCAGTTGTTGAAGCAATGAAGTTGCCATTTAGCCTTTGGGAGTTTTCACTGTCTTTGCTAGGCTGTTTCTCCTAGGAGTAAACAGCACCATCCACTTTGTACACGGTTGACTAAATTTCACACCCATCCCACTCAGCCCAACTGCGTAACATGGCAGGAAATGCAGAATGTACTTTCTAGCCTATCAGTGCGACAGAACAAATACTGAACTAATGGCACTGTGTTATTTTCATGTTTTCAAGCCAAATCATGGAAAACCAGATAGATCTAAAGGTTAAATGGCTACGTCCTTTTGCAACTGACCCAGTAGTGTTTCTATGGACCTTTCAAATAAGAAAAGAAAGTGATATTTTGCACATGATGCTGTTTCTCAAGAAGAGATAGCTGCAAGGCTTGTGCTGCACTGTGACACACCAGTCTTTTCCCCCCACTTCCCTTTGCAGTTGAACTGTGTCATCTTCCATATGCTTGGTGGGAAGGTCTACGGGAGCTGATTCATTTCAAATATAACCCATTTCATTCAAATATAGCCTTGTGTATGCAGATGCGTAATACTTACGTGCCACTATGAAGTACATAGTTATGGCTTATCTGAACGGAATAGTAAATCTCAATAAGATGTTAGAGGACCAGATTAAAGAGTGTACTCAGCACTACTGGGGAGAGACATCAGCTTCCTTTCAAAAGCACAGTACAGTGAAGAGTGACTGAAAATAGCTTGGGGCAGAGACACAGAGCAGAAAGCATGTATCCCAGGGCTCTCACTTCCAGAGTTGTCTTAGGCCTGATGAGTGCTACTTGACTTCTGTATTCTTCAGATGTATCCAACATCCCTTCCCATTCAGCTGTGAAACGGGCTCCCAAGGAAGGCCTGGAAAGCATTTTTGGTTCATTAAGCAAGCAGTTTGTATAGGCAGAGGTAATGCTTTGCAGAATGTATCATAGAATCGTAGAATGTTTAGATTGGAAGGGACCTTAGAGATAATCTAGCCCAGCCCCCTGCCATGGGCAGGGACACCTTCCACTAGACCAGGTTGCTCAAAGCCCCATCCAACCTGGCCTTGAACACTCCCAGGGATGGGGCATCAACCACCTCTCTGGAACCTGGGCCAGGGTTTCACTACCCTCATTGGGAAAAATTTCTTCCTTCTATCTAGTCTAAATCTCCCCTCTTTTAGTTTAAAACCATTACCCCTTGTCCTGTCACTACAGGCCCTGCTAAACAGTCTGTCCCCATCTTTCTCCTCAGCCCCTCCAAGCCCTGGCAGCTGCACTAAGGTCTCCCCGGAGCCTTCTCTGCTCCAGGCTGAGCCCCCCCAGCTCTCCCAGCCTGTCCTCCCAGCAGAGCTGTTCCAGCCCTCGGAGCGTCGCTGGGGCCTCCTCTGGCCCCGCTCCAGCAGGTCCATGTCTCTCCTGTGCCGAGGGCTCCAGAGCTGGACGCAGCCCTGCAGGGGGGTCTGCCCAGAGCGGGGCAGAGGGGCAGAACCCCCTCCCTCGCCCTGCTGGCCACGCGGCTTTGGGGGCAGCCCAGGACACGGGTGGCTTCTGGGCTGCGAGCGCACATTGCTGGCTCATGTTGAGCTTCTCACCCACCAGGACCCCCAAGTGCTTCTCGTCAGGACTGCTTTCAATCCATTCTGCACCCAACCTGTATTTGTGCTTGGGATTTCCCCAGCCCATGTGCATATGATCCCAAATGGTATCATATCTTAGTATTTACACACTTAGTCTTACTGTTAAAGCGGTTTGATAAATAATTCAGTAAAATAAAGAGGAAAAATAGATAAATAAAATCCAAACAGTGGTCAGTAGCAGATGGAGTAGGAGAGGACCATAGGAGTGAACTTGCACCTTTTCAGGGTACTGTTCAGCCTCTAGTGATCAGTGTCCTCTTTATTGTACTGCACTTGAGATGGAACCTTGTTCTGGCCAACGAACAGGCTGTGAATGAGGGCAGTTCTGCAAGAACAGATCAGCAACCCACAGAGGCTGGGGTGCTTACAGCCTCCACCACCATTTGTTGTAATACACACATAGCAAGCTGTTTCTGGAGGCTGCAGTGCAGGTGTTGGGCATATTTCAGTTGCCCATCCACTGGCTACCACCCTGAATCAGCTGGAAGGCATTTGTTTAGCACTTGAAATAAAGGCGGAATAGCATGACCTCAGCTTTTAGTGTTCACCTCTGCTGCCCAGGGAAGAGAGGCAAGAAAGAAATTAAAAATTTATGACTGGCTTTGTCCAGGAGGAGAGTTGTTTGGCTTGGGTACCCATGCTGTCAACTCCTCTCCTTTCAATCTCTACAAATTTCTTTACAACTCTAAAAAGTTGTGTGTGTGTGTAATGGGAGGGGAGAATGTCATGGACGGGGGAAGGACGTAATAGTACATCTGAACAGCAATATTAGACCTTTACTTAGGAACCTAAAACCTTACTTGCTTTTCTTAATTATGGCTGAGTTTGAAGTTGGCCAAATTGGACATAGAAGTGATGAACTTGAGCTAAACCAATGTGTTTGCATGTCTTCAAATTGCAGGTCTTGGATTAGCGGCTGGGGAGCGTAATGTTTATGACCACATTTGTCCCCATTTTATGTCTTGTGTTCTGTCCTTGGTGCAGGAACTTCCACTGCAACTTCTGCCCCTTTAAACTTTCATTTTGCTAATCGTTCAAGTCACTTATGATTTCATTCAGAAGTATCCTTCTCCTTCTTCTCATCTTAATTCTAATCTTGCAGTGCACTTAACAGAATATACACTCCTACATCGGCCACAATCCTACAAAGCACAATAAGCAGCCTTGTATTTACAGACTCTGCAGCAGTAAACGGCTTTTGCTTTTGTTTTTCCTGTGCTGCAGTGCAATGGGATGGGAAGTGATGGAGAGGGAGGATACATGAGAGAGGAACGCAGAGCTGAAGGTTAAATTCAGCTGTTGCAGTAGAACAATTTTTTTTGCTCTCTCAGTCTTTATAAAATTACCAGAAACTTTAAAAGTCATTTAGATAATGAATCTGACAGGGAAAATTAAACCTGGAAGACATTCTACAGGGCTGCCTTGTGTACTGAGAGAAGAGGGCAGGTTGGAAAATAGTAACAGAGTATTAAATGGTGACTTGAAAATAAAGGAATGATTGATAAGAAGCAAAAACCTAGCATAACACTTATTAGTGCTGGTCCTAAATACAGGAGCAGCTTTTTATAGAAACTTTTTTAATGGTGTCTGTAATAAGATAAACAAGAAGCACTTGGGTTGGGCTCTGTATAAATAATCTCCTACTGATAAGAAAAATGACAGTATAAACAGGAGCTAATAATAGTTCCTGCTGAATTTCCTATCTTGTTATTTGAAGCTCCTTTTAACATAGCTGCAGCTTACCCAGGGGTAGCTATTTAGCCCTACATGTGGCAGGTGAGATGCCAAATTTTTATCAGCAGTAATTTGAAGTCATGTGCTGCAATTTGTTTTAATTGCCACCAGCATTGTATCTGGGTACCAAGTAAGTTATGGTTAGAAGAAAAAGGATAGAAAGATAAATGTGAACTTATTAAGAGATGTTGTCTCTTAGCTTCCAAATGTAGATGGGAGGTGGAGGAGACGTTTTCAGAAACTAACGTCTTTCTGTTATGTACTACAGCAAAGGAGAGAGGGAGGAGTATATATAGATGAACCCTTTGCAGCCAGGCTAAATCCAGGCATTGATGGATGATGCCTCTGTGAGGTTTGGAAATCCTACCTTTTCCAGTTTTTTACACATAGGGAGCGAAGGAACCGAAAAACCTTCCTTTCCTGAGGTCACAGTGGAAGCAGTCTGGTGCAGAGCAGGAATTTGAGGTCAAATTTCTCAGTTCTTAGGCTAGTACCATAAAAACTAAATCACCATTTAAAAAAAAAAATTGACAACGATAAAATGCAGAGGTCTTTTGTGGTTTTGGTTTTGTTTTTTTTTTAATTCTTAACACACAGAGCTTTCCACTGTGCAGTTCTGCTAACCTTCCCAATTATTCTGCTGGTACAATTCAGCCCTGTCCTAGTCTCTCTGTACTAATTGATATGAGATCTTCAGGACTTAGCTTTATATTATGCTAAACACACACAGCATCTAGCGCAGTGGATGCAGCCTTGAAGCGCTGCTGTAACATAAATAAAATCCCTTAAGGTTTGGAACCTACACACAGGGGTGCTGAGGAAATGCAGATACAAAGTGAAACTTAACGAGTTCCATTGTGAAAAGAATTCAGAAAATTACTGAATTACTGATCACCTGAAATGGCAAGAAGCTAGATTTTGAAAAACATTTTCTTTCCTTTTTTTTTTCTTTACACTCATGACAACACAGGGAAAGATTTGTTTTTCTATGATTTTGATCTTTCCAGGTTTCCTGTAAACAAGCTTTGCTAATCTCTTAAATTGATAGATGTCCTTTGCAAGCACGTATTATATGAATCTAGGACTTTGCTTACAAACTGAAGAATTAAAACGCAGTCAGTTCCTTTCTTCTCCAAATCTGACATATTCCAGGCGCTTCTGAAAATCTCTCCTGAAAGAAACATTAAAGAAATGCAAAGCAGAGTCACTGAACAAACCTACCTGTGAAGGTGAAAACCAGTTACCAAAGACTTGATGAGTAGCAGTTTTGAGCGTTACGAGTGGATTTGTACTGCAGATAGCAGTTGCCTTCTCTTGATGATACATTTTGCCATTTCTTTTGTGTATTTGAAAGGGAAGCTTTTTCCCCAAATAATTTGTGTCGCAGAGAGCAGCGCTGGCCAGAAAAGCGTGCGTGTCCTGTCCTTATTTTGTTTATAATTAGGAAGTGTAACCTGCTGTGGGAATGAGTGATGTGTGACACAAGAAGTCAACATTTGAATTGCTATAATCCTTTGTGATTACCTCTTCTTTCGTCAGTATTTTCTGTGAGAAAACTAGTTGTGCTCATTACAATGTGTTCGTGTCCCTGCTGATGCTGAGCCCAGAGGATGGCAGTCTTCCTTGAGGTCTGTGGTTCAGTTTGAGAGCGAATTTCCTCAAGACAGCTGGATTTTCAGTACTCCAGAGAACTTACCTCATTAATCTGCTTCTGGCAGCAGGATGATCTCTTTTTTTCCTGCCAGTGCAATTTCCTTAAGTAGCATGATTACAGACAATGTGAGAGGATGGTACTGGTGGGAGTACTGGTCATCGTCCCTATGAGTCAGCTGTGTAAAACCCACTTGAGGTGCAAGAAACTCTGACATGACAATTTGGAGGTTTTGTGTTTGGGGTTTTTTAATTGAAAGGAGTGAAGAATGGGTTTGTGATTAAGATGCTGTATCGGGATCTAGGAGATCCTGGATCAGTTCATCTGCTACAGATCTTGAATCAGTCATGCTGCTGGAATATACAGTTTTGGGGCCTGTAAACCAAGCCAAGGTGCAGATGAAAGAAATTTTATATCTTAAAAACAAAAAGAGGATGAGAGGTATAGGTAGAGGAAACTTTTAAGAAACTCAGCTCTCATTACAGATCTCTGAAACAAGGAAAGAGAATGATAAAAACCAGAAACGAATGATAGGAAATGGGACTTAAAAGGGTCTCCTAGAGGTCATCGACTACATTCCTATGACCAAAAGCAAGACCAGCTGCCTAAGCCATACCTGACATGGTCTCTGGCTTTGTAGCATTGCTATAGAAGTCTGCTAGCCAAAAAGCAAAAAGGAGTTTTGGGCTTTTTGCTAATGCGAAAAGTGCTACGGACTGCAGTGCTGTTCTTGAGATACCGTAGTGAAATAATAATGTACTGCAAATTTATAGCGCTTTTGTTGAATCTGTGCATCTCTGTGTCCTTTACAAAGCTCCATTTTGTAGAAACGACTTCATAAACTGTGAGGACTCACAATGAGTCAAGGATGGACATGGCAGTACACAGCTTGAATCTTTTGGCTCCTGCTCCTTTGCTTTCTCTCGAGCACATTGTCTGAAGTGGCTAACATCTGTACCACTTTGTGACAGTATCAGGAAGCCTCTTGAGCAGAATTTGGATTTTCCACTATACGGCTCTTGTTGAAGATACTTAATCTCTATTTATAATTTTTATCTAATAATGCTTTGTATTTATATCTTACGTTGTTATCCAAACGCTCCGCAAACACTAATTCACTGCAATAAGTGTAAGTGGACTGTAGTAAACAAGTAAATTAATGGTGCTGTTACTCATTGATTAATAGGAGCTATGCAGCCAAAAGCAGTGAGACACAAACATTTGTCCCACAGCACTGTGTTAAAGAAATGGCTTTTATAAATCATAATAGTAGGTAAAGCACTGCACATTTTCGAAACTTGGTCTTTCCACTGGTGATCAGCCATCTAGATCGCATGATTTCAACTCGACTGAAGCCTTATTTTGGGCTGGAGAGTTTTATCAACTTCTCTTGACTTCTTTTGATACTAACTTGCATGCTCCCATAGTTACTTGGTGTAAACTTGGCAGAATCTCAGGTTTGTGCTTGGTTGAATAATTCCACTTCCCTAGTAGTATAAATTCAATTACATATCCTAATGTGGGCCCTGGGGGTAGTCAACTTTTGACTGCCCCAGCTGTTTCTGAACTCTTTCAGTTATGGGGCAAAGGCAGTCTCTGGGAACGAGTGTTAAGAAGATCAATAAACGTATGAGAAACCAAACCAAATCAGGCTGTGTTTTGTGGGCAGAGCTCTGCTGAGTAGCAGTAAGCTTCCGTACTCGAAACAAAACACACCTATGGCTTTTCCCCAGGACAATTAAAACTTCATAGGCTCCGGAATTATGTATAAGGAAGAACAGTTCAGAGCATAAACCCCGTGATTTTAAAAATCTGCTTGGAGTAAGCCCACCTGAATACGATACCCAAGAGTCAGGTTTAATCATTCTAAAGTTAACTAGCTTCAGTGTTCAACGCAAGGAAAAAAAGCATAGTAAACCCCCTGTATTAGAAGTGGTAACACTACAGGGGGTTGTTTTTCATGAGTTAAATATGATTATGAGATCTTACAAAACCTTGATGCATCTCGAGAGGGGAGAGGTAGTTCAGTTTCCATGTGAAAACCAGCTTCTTACCTGCCTTGGTGTTATCACCAAGCAGGTGGTGGCACAGGTGGTGTTCAGCAGTATATTGTTACTTGGAGCACCTCCTAAAACTTGAGTTCTCAGGAGAGTTTAGATGTTGTTAACCCTTTCTGATCACTGAAGACCCTTGTGGAAAGCACAGGGAGTCCTCCTACCTGAAGTACTGCTTTGGTTATTCAGCAGACTATGTATTTTTGGAGATTTTCAAATGAATCTACAGTTCACCTCCTGGTGCACTTTTAAACCTCTTGCTTTATTTGGTTTCTCTTCTTCTAATCACTTCTCTTCCCTTTCTGCATTGATCCTTCATTCAGTGTCATGCTGTGGAAATAACTGTATTAACGTCTAGGGGTTTTTCCCCTTTTACTGTTTTCTTAGAAGTCTTGCTTTACAAACTCCGGAACTTTTGGTCACTAATCTTGCCTGGATGCCTAGAGCTTGAATCCTGCTTTGCAGCTTTTGCTTTTGCAACTGCCCTTTCCGTTTTGTTTTCTGGCTGTTGCTAGAGCTGCTGATAGCTGGCTTGTTCCATTTCTGGGCTGATTTAATCTATATCACACAAACTGTTTCTGTGTTTATCTCCCATCTTATTCAAGCACTGAATGATAATGATCTCCTAACTATCCTTATTTATGCATATCAGTGGGTAAAGGACTTGTTCCTGTTCCACAGATGAAAAAATTTAAGAATCGGGGAAGTTGTGGACAGTTCAAGTTGGTGGTAGATTCGGCTTCCCAGTTTGTACCCTCTTTGCTTGTAGGTCGATTGTGCTGATTCCAGGAGGTACCTTGAGTAAGGTTGAAAATGACAACAGGGAGAAGTTAAAGCGGTTAAGGACAGGGCAGGAAAGCTTGAGCTCTCTGCTTTTTCTGTGATTGAAACATTATGAGTTCCTGGGCTTTGTAACGCAATGCCTTTTATCAGAATATAAACCACTTTAAAATGTTTTAAAAAGAACAAGTTTTCCTTTCCTCTTTCTCTCTTTTTTTGTTCTGTTTTTTTACAGGTATCAGTCAGAGCCGGATCTCCCATTGGCTGTTGCAGCAGGGGTCAGACCTGAGTGAACAAAAGAAAAGGGCATTTTACAGATGGTACCAGCTTGAGAAGACAAATCCTGGTAAACAAATACTGCCTAAACATCTTCTGATCTTTTATTTATGGAAAAGAAGCCTTTTGTCACTGTTTTTCATTATCATTGATCATTGACTTCTTGGTCTGGTGTACCGAAGAGATATTCCCTCTGACCAGTTTACTTTTTAGGAAGATAGGAGCGAATCTGTGCTTTGCTTTGCAGCAAACGATCCGGAGCTGACTGATCCATAGCTGTCTGTCCAGCTCCTCGCTCACAGTTGCTTGCCCCGTCCTCTCGCTGCTAGCTAACTCTGGGAATCAGAAGCAGTCAGTGAAGTCATGGTCAGCTAACATGAAATATGTGATGAGGCTCTTGAGAGTGAACAAATATAAGACGTTAATAATGTCTGCATAATAGAAAGTTGCAGCAAAAAACCCCACATTTTGTCAGAGAGGAACTTTGGGGTAACTTCAGAGGGTTTTGGGTTGGATCTCAAGCTCATGGATGGGATGTTGATCGTTACTGTGATAAGTTGGAGATGCGTCTCTCATCTCACCTGCTTCTCCAAATCTCAAAATAAATCTTAAATATAAAATGAGAAGTAAAGCTCCTCATTATTTTTAACTAACCAGCAATCTTCAAAATCACAGTTGAATTAATTTCCTTGCATTGTTCTTCTCCATAGATTTTGTTTGACCACCGTTCCTTTCCCTTCAGCGGTTTTATTGTAAAGATCAAAATATTTACATTTAATTTCCTTTAAACAATGGCATGATTAAATTAACTGTGTAATTGTTTTAAGGAATTTAAGACTCAGGCTCTCTAATGCGAACTTGGCTTCAATATCTAGAATTCTATTAAGAAAAATTCCAGTGAAAACAAATCCTCAAAACTTCTGCTTTGTGTGTAAGCTGAAAATCAAGAGGCTCCAGCTGTCAGTTGGCCCGAGAATACTTTAAGCTGAACCCAGCCGAGCCTCTCCTTTCTGTTCAGCATCTAGAAAATTGCTGTAAAGAATGAATGTGCCAAGGGTTGTGAGGTGCTGACAAGCTGCAGGGATCGCTGAGAAGCCTTGATTTTGCAGTGGCTGGAATTGCGATACTAAGGATCAGCAAAGTTACCGGAGACAACCGTTCAGCATCAGCTGCTTTGAAAGCCTCCAGTTGTACCCTACGAAGTAACTCTCAGCCATTTGCCTTTGATGGAAGGTATTGCCTCCAAAACCGTGGAGAGAGCTAGAGGTTTTTTGGAAGGTGTATTTTTCCTAAAGTCCTCTCCTAATGATGAGAACTGTTGTGTGGATCTTTCCTATAGCCGTGCACCTTTTCTTTCCAATATCATTTGGAGCTGTTTAAGAAATAGTATTCTGGGCTGGGGTAAGAGAAGCCTTGTCAAACTTAGCACTAAAATCTTAACTTCTTCCTCTTAACCTTCTTTCTTTCCCCGTATCCACAAGCTTACATCTTGTTTGTCCTCTGGCTCTTGAGAAGCATTTAAGGAAAGAAGACTAGCAACACTGAAGGCTACAGCTTAAATTGAAATGAATCGATGTTAACCCCTACTTTTCTGACACACTGTCTTGCTGAGGTCTTGTTCACTTTTCTTTATACACACATGGAAAAATCTCTTGAAGAGTGGTTGTTTGGGTTTAACCTTTTTTCAAATTAAGAGATCTTATACAGTATTTTTAAGAAGCATAAAAGGCAAAATGGCGTCTCTGCCAGTGCCAACGGACTATTTGGATGTGCTTAAATTCCCTTTAGAACTAAATAGCGTTTGGTTTCTTTCTAGAAGCTGAAGGGGAAACCCTCAGCTTTCCCACAGCTGTTGGAAGAGTCTACTTGAGGAAAATGGTTGTGTTACTTATTGTAGGATAATCCACTGCTTTGAACGATTGCCATCTACTATATTGCAGGTCAGACTGGCTAGCCAAGAAATAATCAACATGCATGTGTGCAAGCGTATACAGTGTATTAAGGAAGGTACAACCTTGTGCAAAGCATCCTGGGTTTAAATTACTGTTGTAAAACCAATTTGGAGCCTGAGTTTTGGATACTGCTTACCGTATCCTGTGCTTAGTAGATTCGACTAGCTGTCCTGCTGCGTTCTTTAGAGTCAGAAAATACGGAAATCGGTAGAGCCTCCTGCCATCTTCACAAAGAAGCGATGCCATCACCGCAGTTTCTGTGGAGTGTAAAAGATTGTCCTCCTTTGAAGAAACTTAGGACGTTAAATGGCTGGCATGTGTTTTTTCTATTTGCTCACTTACTAGGAAGTGACATTTGGCTTTCTATTCTCATAGCCCATCTTTTCCAATTCCAACTGCTGGGAATAAAATATCAATTTTATTGAGATGTATTTATTTTATTGAGATTTAATTATTATTTTAAATCTCCTTTGAGTGACATTCAGGTCTCTCTGTGCAGAAGCACCTACACATTTGAGTTACCACTGGGCAAAGTAAGGTATTTGGGAACTTCTAGTTCCTGCATTTCTGTTTTTCCTTATTATGGAAAAATGGATCTTTAGAGTAAGCCCATTTTCTGACTGAATTTGTTTGTGTAGTAACGGAAAGAAAACTTTCGCTTAAAATTGAAACAGTTTTGAAGGACTAGGACACCAGATATAATGAATTTATGAACTGTAAAGAATGAATATTTTCATGAGGAAAGGGCTGGAGATCACTTGGCAGACCTGTAGTATTTCCTTGGTTCTGCCAGTTTTTCTGTATGGCTCTTAGCAAATTATTTCACCTTTGTACCTCACTTTCCCGTCTCCTAGGTAAAGGTGAGACCACTTTCCTGTGTATGACTTGCCTACCTTGCCTGTAAGGTCCTCGCAGCAGGGACTGTCTTTTACTGTGATTATATACTGCACCCAGACAGGAGTTTCTAATAATATAGGGGACAAAAGATGACTTACAAATACATCAAAAGAGATTTTATTTTTCTTTTTTCAAAATGTATAATGGTGCTATATAACACTTTAAATCATCCACAAGCAGTCCTGAATCTGCAAACCAAAGAACTTTGGGTTGTGAAGCCTTAGGGCAGTTTTGAGACGTTGCTGCCGTTGAGATGTTGCTAGATGTTGCTCCTATACAGAAGAGACTCAGCAATTCCATCACGTTCGTTATGTGCCAGCTTGCTTTGGCCTGTTGAATACGCTGTTCGTTGTTCGCTTAGTTTTGATTGCTTATTTGCATGGGTACTTTCTATATTTCTCCTATCTTCGGTGGCGGGTGTTCAGGCAACAGCAGACTGGAACATTGCAAAAGAGACTTAAGTCATGGATCAGAAAAAAACCCCAACACTTTTCCTTCGATATGCAATAATCTTGCTCAAAGATTTCTTGATCAATGTTTTCCTTGTAGGAGTGATGTCAGAGTTAATAGCAACGCTGCGAATTCCAGCATACTAGTGATTGTAAATTTTTCTGGAAACAGTTGCCAATTAGGGTGAAAGGCAGTTTTTTGTTGAAGGGAAAAAGTCAGTGCTAAATGTTAGTGTTTGAAAGGTCTTTAATCCAATTAATTGGGATGCTTTTCATTTAGATGGGGATTTTTTTGGACAGGCACCACATCTCTTGTGTTTTGTAGAGGACTGAGAGCATTTTGGCGGTAGATAAATAGTATAAGTTTCAGAAGCCAGTATATGAGTGCATAGAGTCCTATAATGTACTGGTTGTTTTTTTTTCAGAGCCCATGGGTTTTAAATAAATAAATAAATAAATATTTATCTACTTAAAATATAAATGAGAAAAAATTATTCTTTACATTGGTAGTTGTTAGCCTGATTAGTTTGGCTGACACTGGGTCTTGGGCAACGTGGAAAGTTTGTCATGGAGTAATGTCAGCACGTCTTGCCTCTGTGTACTGCAGACTGAAGCTGGCACCTAGAAATGATGTGTTGAAGTTACAGATGAGATGGATACAGACTGCTTCCATTTAGGCTGGATATTTATTTCTGCCAGTCTTCTGTAATAAGAAGGCAGCTGTGGTCACCTTGGAGAAAACCATGTGCTCTTCCTCCTTGAACAAAAGGGAAAAAGAAGGGTAGTTATATCAAGATGTAGCATCTCTTGTGTTATTCCCATAGCAGTTCTTGTTTAGCTATAAAAAAAAGGCTACCCAAAGGAAAAAAAAAATCAGGGGCTGGATACGCCATGAGATTTGCCTGGAAACATATTGTTGGTGATTTACTATTTTACAGAGCTGCAGAGAAAATGGTCCCATAGCTCTGATCCTTTCCATCCAAGCCATGAGCTCCATAGGGAACCTTCTGCTGTGCAGGCTGCTGATTCAAATCCAGCCTGGCTCAGTAGTAACTGAAAGGTGTTCATCATGTGATCTCAGGTCAGTCTGGCTCAAAATAAAGTGTGGCATCTGTTCTTATCAGGATAATATATGACAGGTACTTGCTGCAAAGACTTGCTACTAAATGGTTTCCTGGAGCTGGGCTGAGGCTTGCTCCAGCCGTTCTGCGCATCGCCGCTGTATGGCAGGGCCTCTCCGAGGCGTGTGATGGGAACAGCAACTGCACGTGACGCTTTTAAGAGCGATGCTCTTTTTTTGGGATAGTGTCTGGGATGTGCTGAGAGAAGGCAGGCCTTTGCCATGAGGGACCTTGAGTGTAGAGATAGAGCTGCATTCCAGTTGGAGAGCACCGCTCTTGCCTCCTCTCCCCAAAACCCACCCGCAGCGTCCCCGGAGTCGTACCCCGCATTTGAGAAAACGCTGGCTTGCACGAAGAAAAGAGAGTGGTGTTGCAAAAGGTACTCGGCACTGGCAGGTAGCGAGGGATGTCGCTTTTCATTTTTCTCTGCAAAAGGAGTTCTCACAAGACGGTTCACCTCTACACCCCTTATACATGTCTTGCTTTTTGATGCATATACTGAGATGAAAATCTCATACTGCATTTGCTCCACTCATTCTGCTCAAGAGACAAGTTTTATTTCTTAAAAGCTGTTTGAGAGGTTTGTGAAAAGAATCTGAACTAGTAACCAGGATGTAACTTAATAAGTTGTAAAGAAGTAGAGCTGGGTGGCGAGAAGATTGCGGTGAAGCTTTGGAACAGCAGAATAAATGGGAGCCCCAAGTGCACACTTAATTGAGGGGGATGGAGAAAAGACTCCATAGTTGCCATATCAAATGCGGCAGCAGTGCATATAGCCACAGCTTTTGCCATTCAGCTAGAGCCAAACGCGTTTTGTGCCTCTTGCATTCAGATGCTTCTGTCTTTCTGTGTGTGCAAGAACAGTGGTGGGTACTTGCTTGTCATTCTCAGCATACTTTCTCTCTTATCTGCTGCTGATATTGATGTTACCCTGTAGAAAAGAGAAATAGGTGAATTGATCTAGCAAGGCTACTGAAACAAAAAAAGCATCTTACATCCAGTAAGTGAACGTATCAGTAGCAGGAGCAAATTTATACTTTAAATGCAGATGTTTTTTCAACCTTTGTCTGACAAATCTTGGGCAAATTTAATGGAAGTACTCAGCATCTCTTACCTTGATGTTCAGCGTCACTGATATTCCCATATTCTGCCTTTTTTCTGGAGAACTTAAATCCTCAGATGAGGAGACTATATTGCTAAGACAATGCAGGGAAATGAATTTCTTGTTCTGTTCTCTCCTGCCTTTTTTTTTTTTTCCTTTCTAGTTTCTTTTGTTGTTTCGTTTTCGACATGTATTTAAAGCCTAGCAACCCGATGCTGAACCCAACCTGAGCAAATGCTGGAAAAAGTAGATAAGGAACTTTCCTTGAAATGGCCTCCCAGTAAATTGGCAATGTAGGAAATATTTCATGTGTCAGTAAAACTAAGTAATCTGTGTAGGCTCAGTAGCCTACACAGTAGAGTGTAATAAGAGTCGCCATCCATTGTGCATGCAAGGCAGAGGCTGTGGCCTTCACTTCCTATATGCTTCTCCTGGGTAAAATATTTACAGAATAATAGAATCATTAAGGCTGGGAACCGTTAACCCAACACCCCATGCCCGCTAAACCATGTCCTGAAGTGCCACATCCATACGTTTTTTGAACACCTCCAGTGATGGTGACTCCACCACCTCCCTGGGCAGCCTGTGCCAATGCCTGACCACCCTCTCGGTGAAGAAATTTTTCCCAATATCCAATCTAAACCTCCCCTGGCACAACTTGAGGCCATTTCTTCTTGTCCTATCACTGGTTACTTGGGAGAAGAGACCAACCCCCACCTCACCACAACCCCCTTTCAGGCAGCTGTAGAGAGCGATGAGGGCTCCCCTCAGCCTCATAGTTTAGATTATTTTGGGCTCCGCTACCTAACACAGATGCAAGCTCCTGGCAATATGGAAAATACTCATTGTGCGTTTCTGGAAATGAACACAGCCAAATGCATAAATAGCTAATTTCTTGCTTTTTAACTGTAGGAATTTGTTTATTGGTTAAACTCTTAAGTTCCTTTAACCCTTTTACTCTGTTTTAAATGAAACAGGCAGTGTTGTTTCACTAACACAGTATGTTTTTATGATTAAATCCTAACCATTCTGAGCAAGTCTGTGTACCCGGAGGGATTTGCTGTCTCAGCTCTGCTTTTACGTGTGCACAATACTGTATTCCTCCTATGAGCAGAGCTGCTTGCTTCTCTTGGATCTATCTAGGCTGGTTCAGTGCACGAATTCCACTTGAGCTCAGTGTGCATATGGGATATAGGTAGTGATTTATCTTTTCATATGCCTGGGGTTTTTTGAGTTTTTTTGCACACAAGAACATCTATTTCTTCCCTCCAGGGGAAGTCACTGAGCACAAAGCTGTCCTTTAGAACATACCTTGTTTTACATACTAACGTCCTATACCAGGTTCCCATCCTGGCCAAGGGATATACAAAAGATTGGTCTCCCAGTGTGTCTTGATTTATCTTGATTTATTAACTGGGAGGCTGTTGTGGAAAGAATTGGGGGTAAGTTTCAAAGGGCTTTTAATAAAAGTATTGTGCCAAGTCCTGTCTCTTGCTTGAAGCTTTCCAGCTCAGGCTTCTTGAAAGGAGAAATGTATCCATAGAAAGGGGACAGAAGAGGAAAGGTGTGATGTTAATCTGCTTTCAGTGACTTTTTCAGGCAACCTGGCACTTGGGAGCCCGTGTTTGCACAGGTCACAGGGTGTGTTTCTATCGGTGGAGCTATTTCAAGTGTTTACTCAGCTCTTCAGACATGTCAAAATACTTTTGGTATAAATTTACATTTTGCTTCCTGAGACTGCTGCACAATTAAATAGAAACCTACTATTTCCTGTTTTGTGGTGGAAGAGGTAGCAGCACAACCTAAATAAATCCCAGCTAGGGCATAGCTCACCCTTTCTTTAAAACATTTTTCCTCTTGATAAAGACGGGACAGCTTTTCCTAAGTGGCTATTAGCTCGGTTATGTCTCCCTTAGATTTCTGTGGTCACTTGGTACCTCTCTGGCTTGGAGGTTGGGGATGGGAACGCTAGCTGGCTTTGTGTATCTTTAAGGTGTCTTTGTTTGATAACGCTTTACTTTTTTTAGTTTGAATGGTTTCATCATCTGTCTTGTCTTTTTTTCATGAGCAGGAGTGAGAAAATGGGCATGATTTTTAATCCACTAGGAAACACAGTATTTATTATTCTTAGGGGCTACGTTAAGCATGAGACCCGCTCCTATCCCAATAGAAGAGCCAGAATGGAGACAGACGCCTCCCCCAGTCACAGCTACCTCTGGGACCTTCAGACTACGGCGAGGCAGTCGGTTCACATGGAGAAAGGAGTGCCTGGCTGTTATGGAAAGGTATGTCACTTTGGGGTTACGGAGATGGGCATTTTAAAGCCAATACAAGTGTCCTTTTTCCTGCTCTGGTGAACACCAGCTTCATTTTCATGGACGTGTTTTAGCATCATGGAAGATAACAACAGTGTAATCATTTGATTCTCAACGGTAGAGTAGGAGGAGCTATTTCACCTCTGGACAATATCTTATTTTTTGTAGGCCCTGAGACATCTTGTCCGTGGCGCAGTCTGAGAGTATTGGTGTTCAGCTCTTCCTTTGCTTTTGCAGAAACCTTTGATCTAGCCTAATCCAGGCTCTGTCTTGGTGGAGGTCTGCACGCTCTTTACATTCTACATCTCTCCTTTCCCAAATTACTGATTTATTGACTCATTTGTATCATGTTATTTTATAGTTGATACTGGCATTTGGGCAGCACTATAATTGTTCAGGATGCAGAACTTTGCCTAACAAGTAGTAGATTCTTGGTCTGACGAGGCTCTTACAAGCCTTTTACATGAGCTGGGAACAGTACAGAGCAAAGTGGGTCTTTCAAATACATATGCAGAGTGGCAGGCGATCATTAGAGCTCCCAGCTCTTCGGTCCTGCAGAGACGAAGCGCTCTCTGAGCCTGGTTTCTGGGCTGTCTATGCTTTGCCTTTGACTCTGCCTACAGTAATGTCTTTTTTGTGGATAATATTGTATAATAGAAAAGGGCTAGTGAACTCAAACGTAGTTTAGAGATGAATGCTTATTTCCCTTAAGGGCTAAATGGCTGGGAGGAGTTTTCTTCCCTCCAAGAGTGAGGAACCTCCTTTCCATGAAAGCACCCGATGAGACTCTGTGTGTGGTACACTCCTCTCTGGTTTGCAACTCCGTTAATGGAGTCCTTGGCCAGCAGACTTTTAGGATGTGCTTTTGCCCTTTCTGTAATGTTTCTCTTTCCTCTTGCTTGCACAAGGGTCTTTGGAACCGATTAGGAGCAGGAGAGTGTCTCCTTTTGCCTAAGCTAAGACCAACATACCGAGCTCCCTCAGGGACCCAAGGCTTTTACACACAAGATGGACATACTTCTGTGTGGCCACAGGCCGTCACAGCATCTTTGCAGGGCTGAGACCGGTAACTAACTCTTTGTTTCCATATTCTGTCCTGGCACTGCACTGATGTTTTCAGGTTTGCTGAATGTTTCCGCAAAGGAAATAATGTAAATGTCTGAAATCTCTTCTGCTTTGCTAGACCCAACTAATGCAAAGTCCTGAAATCTGATAGTACAAGGGACTGTGTTTTTCTAGTGTCCCCCGCGACACACGTGGTACAATGTGCAGTAGAGGGTCTTCAGCGCTTTAAAATGCTTGTATGACTGTCCTGATTGCAGTATGTAGAATGACAAAAATGCTCCAGCTCAGTATACCTTCAGGACAGTACCACCTCCTTGTTAACCCTGTGTGTGCAAAGTATGTTCTTGCTCTGAAGTAGAATTGGAGCTCTTTGGGCATGGGTCTTTTCCTTCTCAGTTTCCGTCTGGCCTGAAGTGCGATAACTATTATTTGCTGTTTGAATCATGAAGTGCCTTAGACTCCTTTGCGCTAGGTGCTGTGGAAGCAGAGCAGGAGGAGAAAGCTAAGCAAGCAAGCACTACCCTTTCCTGCTTCAGATCTCTCCTAAAGCCAGTCTCTGCTGTGACATGCTCAAGAAGTCAGTCAACCTGTGATGGATTGGAATGTGTCTCTTAGAAAGATGTCAGATTTGGTTTTATATATGGAAAGAAGCAAGTTGCTGTTGACATTGGAAATCCTCCAGTTGTGTATGCAGATACATCGTCACTTGATCTAATTTTTCATTACCCTCTTTCTTCTTTGTTGCTCTTGGTTTTGTTTGCTGTGTCTTGTGCTCTGTAAGGTCTTTGCTGCTGGTTTTCTTCTTATTCTGCTGGTAAATGGAGACTTCTGCCACATTGCCTTAGTCCTGGCTTTTAATATTAATTTGTAGAGTTCTTGCTGGGTCACTGCAAGCACTGAATTTCACAGCCTTGTGTGTGGGTACTGGAAAGTATGGCTGAGGAGTTTTACTTGAGGCAAGAACACAGTAAATTTGAGCCGTGGTAAAAGCTTTGTATGACTATAAAACTACACCATAAAGCAAGTTTGGGATATGGCTGTTTAACTGTTATACTTTAATAAGCCTAGCTGAGCTGTAAGGATGAGCTGGTTTATGTGACGAGTTTTGAAAGAGTCGGAGGAGAAGACTCTCTTGGGAGCCCTAGGAAGAAGCTAACTAATTTCACTGCAAAGTCACCAGAGTCTTCCAGGCTTGGCCCTAAGGTGACTCAAAACAGCAGCCAGGATGAAGGTAACCAGACTCCTGACTGTCTGGCCCAAGCATATCAGGTTCACTTAATGCCATAGGGTCAGGAATAAGCATTTGGCTCACTAAAATGGATGTTTGGCATTGCATGTGGTCTGGTGCCATTTATCTGGTAATTTGCATTTTCCTCTGAAGGATTAAGTTTTGACTGTGAGTGGAGGCATCTTACTCACTTTAATGGACTGTTTTCCGTAATTAAATGCAAGTTTCGTTGCATTGTGTTTGCATGTCCTGCAGCAGCTTGATGCACCGTTGACGCACACAGGGATTTAGCTACCTAGTTTTGAGCGTCTTACTTGGGAACCTCAGTAAAGTGCTGGTACATCTAGGCTTCTAGCTATTCAGCAATGAGAAACAGAGATCCAGAAGACAATCCCATCACACTAATGCAACTCATATGAGGGCTACATGCACCTTCTTCTCTGGCTACAAAAGAGGAGCCTTCTGCAATTAGACCTAACTTTGGTGATTTAGTTAAAAGCCTGAAGGTAAGAGGACTGAATCTAGACCTTAATGGAAACTCTTGTGTACGTAATTCAGAACTGCTTCTTCCTATAAACTTTTGAAACATTGCTGTGAAGCTGTATAAACATTTTTTGGCTGAGTATCAAAGTTTTGGGCTGCTCTATCAGTTAATTGTGGTACATGCTTTTGACTTGGATTCAGTTGGTAAGAAATGCAGTTGCTAAAAGTCAATGTGTCAAACCAGCTGAGAGCACTTCAAGGAAAAAATCTGAATTTGATTGCAAAAATTGGAGAGATTTGCATCTAGGAGCAGGCTCTCCATCTGAAAATGCACAGCACCAGTGAGGATTTAGCCCATGAACTGAATGAGAAGGGTGAGGATTTTACGGCTAGTTTCTACAAAAATTCTAGTGCAATTAATTATTATATTGGTGCAAACCTGATGTAATTATAAAGATTAGAGTTAGGGCCAGCACATATACTTAAATGTCTAATGTACATAAGTGTCTGCATACAGGGTATGCGTATTAAAGAAACTAATTGGTTTATACTGGATTTCCAGAATGCTGCTTGCGGTTTCTGTAATTCAATTCTCCAGTCTTTACTGCTTTTTTGGAAATTCTCCCAGGGTAGTTTATTAGTCACTAGGCTTAGATTTCGGACAATAGATTCAGGTCTCTTTCTCCTTCTCTCCTTTCTGTGTTGTTTTTTTTTTTTTTTTTAATATCTGTCCGAATATTTATGCTCTGAAGGTTAAGAGGAGCAATAGTTCCAGAAAGTAAAGTTCTATATTTAACTGCAGACTAGGTGTGGTTCAGACAACTGCAGTGCAAGCTCCCTCTCGCTGCTGTGCTAGTGATACCAACCTTGACCTGTTCTCTTCTTGAGCCTCCTGCTCATGAAATATGCTGAGTTTTTTGTGTGGTGATGTTGTTGTGTGGCTTACCCTCCTTTGGGAACACAGCTAAGACAACAATAGTCCTTTCTGTGAAAACCTGAGGTTAAACTTGAAAGTCTGTTTCTGGTTCAGTTTCGTGTTCTTCGTTACATCTTGTCCCACAGATTTTTTTTTTTTCTTTTCACTGCTTTACTACTTCTTTTCAACCCTTCTCATTAGAACTACAAAATTTAAAATTCCCTTAGGGTTTTCTCCTTTCTTAATGAAGCTGTGTTGTCTTGTCTATCTTTTTTTTTTTTTAAGTGATTTGTATTTTTCCTCTAATCATATGTTGGAGTTGAGGTTTATCTTCTTTTTCAGGCAAAAAACCATCTAAGGTTGGCAGCTGAATCAATGACTCTATACCCATTTTAAGGCACTTCTGTTGAGTGCCATTTAAGACGGGGGGGAGGGGGAGTTGAGTGTTGTTTTTTAAGTATATGCTTTATCCAAAGATTAAATTAAAATAACTGTAAATTCTGCTTTAAACAAAATGAGTAATTCATCAGTTGAAAGTATTTCAGTTTGTCTAGGGAGTAGAGACTTTGCTTTTTGGTTGAGGGTTTTTTGGTTTGATTTTGTGGGTCTGTTTTTTTACTCTAACACTTGTCTATGCTCTTGAAGCATCCTTTTGTAAAGATGTATTTAGATTAAATAAGACTAGATGATATAGATACCTATTATCCCCGTTTCATAGATGGCAAAATAAGACTAGATGATATAGACACCTATTATCCCCATTTCATAGATGGCAGGCAAAACAGTCAGGTGTTTCCTTGGCTTTGTGATCCAAGGCAACTTTATACATAAGAAAATGGATTTAGATTTCTCAAGATACTAAGGGTATAGTTTCATGATATAGCTGAGCCGAATTAACAGTTTGTCACCATCTCATCCTTAGGCGTTATCCTGTCTCATCGCCCTTCTCAATTCCTCCTCCTCAGTTTCCTTGCTCCTGCCACCCTGCGTTGTGCCAGATATCTTTCTTCTCTGATTGAAATACTGGCCAATTCAGCTTGGTTCAGAAAAAGAAATCTTTTTTATTTCCCCCTCCATTTTAGTGAATCGTTCAGCTTGCTGTGCACGGAGAGTGTGCCAGCGCTGGCTCGGGGCAGATGACAGGAGTGAACAACTGAGGGCACAGCGAAGGGGAATTTAAAAAAAAAAAAAAAGTACATATTTTCTATGGTGTTTTTTTAGTCGTCATCTTTTTGTTCAGATTCTGTTTGGCTTGAGTTTCTGTTTGGCTTGAGTTGG